CGGAAAGAGAAGGGATTGAGGGATCAAGACTGGCTCGATGCCAATGATAGAACCCCACTTCAACCTTTACTCAAATGCAAGATATACTAACAAGAACACTAATACAATCAAATATTCATTCACCCTTTGCATCTGCACATATCTCAGCTTATATAGCTGGCTACAAGCTAAAGAGATCCAACTCAACGATTGACACCTGGTTAACAAAGTGATGCCACTTGGCATCGTAACATCACGGGTGCACGAAATTGTAAGGAATGGTGGAAGTTTATGGGTTTGTGCAGGATCTGTTTGTGTTTGATTATGTTTAAGTTTATGTTTATGTTAATGAATCAGTGAAACTTTGATCTGTGTGTGCATGATTTTTTTTGGCTTTAAGGCCCAATCCCGAAGTGTCTTGAAAATTCCGAAACAGTTTCGGGAATCCCGAATTTCGGGAAGTGAATAGTTTCGGTTCGATTTCTGGATATAAAATCTCATCCCGAAATATTTTGGTTTGGGATTCAGGTTTGGGGTTTTGGTTTGAGATCCTGACCCGAACCAACCCTACTGGTATTGCACCATATCCAGACCAGGTCCTTGCCTTTGTATATCAAAGTGACAAATACGAAGCAAAAAAAGGATTAAGCACAAGACAAATGTGAGAGATATTGCTCTCTTTAAGCCTTGAATGAGTTGTATAACATTGATTTTGGGTTTTTATTTTTTGAATGGGTGCAAAGATAAATTTTCTAAATTGAATTGAGTTTGTGAGGGTAATTTAGTTAGTGAGTTTGGGTTTAAAGAGATATTGATAGTTTAATTAAAAGTAATATGGGTGTAGAGAGTAAGTTGGGTGTAAAGAGAAGTTATATGGGTTCAAATAAAATTTCCCAAATTTAATATGTACATAAATTAATATGAACAACACACTCACTTACTAACCAATATAAAAAAAATCATAAAAACTCACCGTAAATATAATACTAGATTTTTGCATAACTTCTACTCATGATATTTGTCATTCCATAAGGCTTAGTGACAACATAAAACACACAAATTTCTATGCAAATATGTACTCATTATCTTGTGTCCCTCTTCACTTAATGCTAATATATATCCCAACAATCAATTTTCACTTCAATTCTTCAACAACTCATGACAAAATCAAACCCGAAATCAATTTCTCCCTTTGCCTTCATAACCTTACTCTAACACCGCTACAGAAAAAAAAAAAAAAGTGTTTTATCTTCGTACAAATTGATTCCAGTAAGCCCTAGGAAGTGAATTTACTTTCAGGAAAAATAGATGGAAAGTAACATAGGTAGTAAATTCCAACAATTAAGAGAATCTAAGTGGTAAAAGTTAAAAAGGGTTTTTGAACTTTAATCCTTGAAGAAGATTAAAATTTAATAAAAACCTGATGTTAGATTACATATTGATTTTAGTCCTTGAACGTGTACGTAATTCAAATTTATGTTATATTTTTGTTTTAATATTTAATGGAATCTAACACACACCGACCAGAGTCGACGCTGGCCGTCACCTGAAGGTGACATAACCAAAGGTGCAAGTGATGTAAAAATGTGGATAAATTAAAACCGAAACTATAACTTATTTAAACTATTAAAGTGAGTGCGTAGTAGTGGGTAGAACCCATAAACTACAAATGTTCAGAGCATAGATAACATAAATGTAAAGCAGTTGAACTAGAGAAGTACTTATTACACAACTAGGATAAGTTCCTACACTAAAAATGGAGATATTCAAAATCGCTATCATATCCTCGCACGCCACAGAGTGATTCAGTTATCTAGGACCTAGAGGGGCGAAAAACAGAAGGGTGAGTGGGCACAAAAACAAAGGTTTACAAAATCCATTTATTTTTGGAACATACTAACCCCTCGTTGTAAAACATTTATAGTTTCCAGAAAATCATACTACATATAAGTATGAAATCAAATGCATGCTAACAGTAAATCTAGAAGTATGCCATAACTCAATATCTCATCAGCAATATAAATATAATCATGTGCTCAATAATCTATACTAGCACGCAAGTCGGAGTCACCTAATGTGATCTGTACAACTGCACTTATGGCTCATCAATATATGCTAGCACACGAGTCGAAATCGCCTAATGCGACTTGTATGACATGACTAGGTGTAATAATAATATACGCTTTAGTGCTACAATCATGTGAAGACTAGCGCTATTCACTGTCACATACGAGTCGGAATTGCCTATTGCAATTTTAAGACAGGACTAACACCTACTTGGATCCAAGGCGAGCGTGAGGTGCTGATGTGAACAACACGTGAAAGACTAGCCTGGCCATGGGCTGAGCACTAACACTTGGGTGTAGCAATAATGAGCAGACTATATGAATGTAAACATGCCATAATGATTCAACAGTTTCAATCAACATAATAACCTTACCTAGACCTACCTGCGCATCCCATAATTATTTTAGCATTTCACAACAGTACAACATTTATGAGCAGGTAAAATGCATATGAATATACCATGACAATATATGAATCTCAACCACATAACAACATTTTTAAAATTAATAAAAACATGGCATAAAATGCCTAAATCAATTTAAAACCATTTGTGGAAACAAAATGCCCACTCACTGGTATATCGATGGATCATAGCCCCCTAGTCTCGCTTGTCCTCATGGTAAGCCTCCCCTATATGCGAAACAACTAATAATTTAGTTTAATAACACATATACTAAAACTTAGATAAAATCCTCATAGTTTGCTCAAACAGAGGGTTTGAATATACGAAAAGTATTTTTCGGTTTTGTAGTTCAATAAAATTTTCGTTCTAACTCCGAATTCAATTCTGTTTGTGCCTATGTGTTCGTACCGTCAAGTACTTCGAGAATATGGTAAATTAATAGCTCATATATGTCACGTAATGACGGTCAATGAAAGTCAACAATCTCGCCACTATGGGCATTTTCGTCAATTCACTCTTTATAAAATCGTAAAATTAGAGACGGGTTGTTACACCCATATGTAATATATTAGCCTTTTCTTTATTAGTAGTCAAGCTTTTTACATCTACATCTACGTATTAGTTTAAGACAAGATGTCATATATGATAAATGCTCTTAACAACGAGTACTTAAGAGTTTTGTAGTTCGAGTGATTGAAAATAATATTCATGCACACCATGTTAAGTATTCAATTCCCCATCTTCATTATCATTTGTATTCAAGATGAAATAGTTAACAATTTATTCCAAAACGCACCTCTAATTTTTCAAGAACCAGAATCTCATTTCAAAAATGTAGAAGTAACACTATCATTCGTTATCCATATGAAAATCGACAATAAACTTCAAGTATAGTCATTTCAAAACTTATAAATAATTCATATAATATGAAGTGAGATGGGTAATATGTGCACGAGTGAATTGGGGCTCAAAATCGAGTTGGGTTTGGGTTGACATGAACGGGCAAGACATTAACCCAACCCAACCCAATAAACAATCGGGTTAAAGGCGGGTTGGGTTTGGGCAGATTTTGTCTTCATTTTAACTAACTAGATCGGTTTTGAAATAAGGTTGAGCATGGACGGATTTGGGTTGACCCAACCTAAGTTGCATGTGGGGAAGTGGGTTGAGCCTCACAACGGGTTAGCGATAATGTGGTTCAAATTCGCATTTAGCAAGAATCAAACCTAAACCTCTCACTTACCAGTGAAGAAGAATTCTCTGATCATACTAAGTAACTGGTGTGTGTTATATTTGCAGTAAATTTTTATGCCAAATCGCTCACAATGTTATCTTGTACGAGTATCTATCAAATATAGCAAAAATTTGACTTTTAATTTTAAAAATATCATATATAGCCAAAAATGAACTTCAAAAGACTTAAATGCCCTCAACTTATATGAGCTCATGGGATATTTTCTCTGCATACCAATAATTGTAAAATTTATCATATGCAAATGGGATTTTTTCTATTCTTTTTTTTTTCATGTTCTTTTTCATTTTTAGGGTTTTGATTATTTTTAAGATAGAACTTCATGTCTTCGTTTGGATGGAAATCTCTTGTACACGGTTCCATGGTATTATGCATATATAATTTTTTTTTTAATAAACGATATTATCTACATTAAGGTGAGGGGGGGTTGGTTTTGCCTCACAATGGACTAGCAAGAATATGGTTCAAATTCGCCTTTGGCGATAATCAAACATAAGACCTCTTACTTACAAGTGAAGAGGAATACCCTAGTATTAATTTAGGTAACATACTTTTGTATCGATCTAATTGTTGTTTCGATTGCTCCCATAAATTCAAATAAATCAATTTCTACTTCATTTTTATACTTATAATGCATTATGGTTTTGCAATGGTGCAGTTGACATACATTCATGGTGTTCGGCTTGTTCGACAAAGCTCGCAATATCCCCGTTTGCCACTCCCATCCTCTTGAACAACGATTATGAATAAAATTTAGGCCTTATTGGATTACTAGTTTCTGTGGTGATAGAGTAGTTGGAAGATAGCCTATGTGGTAAGAAAACTAGAATTTAAGCCGTTGTGGTGAAATCTTTGGGATTTATGCCCAAAATTAATATTCGATCAACAATTTGTTAATTATTAGCATCTAAGCCGCACATATTAGGCTAAAACGGAACTCTCCGTTAACTATTAACATGTAGGGCTTACATGTGAGACTAACTTTGTCTTTGTAGCCTCACATGTGAGTCTCATATGCTAACAATTAACGGAGAACTAACAAAATTTTCAATTTAGGTTTAAATCATAACAGACTTCGCTACAAAAGCTTAAATCCTAATTTTTTAACCATATGGATTATCTTACAACTACTCTATTATCACGGGACTATTAATCCAATTAAGCCTAAAATTTAAAAGGCTGTTGACTTTTAGTTGTAATTAGGTTTTAATTTTGAGGACAATTGGGTATACTTAAGTAGAATTTTGATACATTTGAAATTCTGCATAAAAACCGATATTTTTTAATTTAAATGCTTTGGTTATATCAATGATAAAAAGACATCTGCTACCTCCCCCGCTTCAGAACTAAATATTCTGTCCGTCTTTCAATGGAAGCTCAGCGTCTGCTTTCTGGGTTTTGCTCAACATCGCCGATTCCAAATGCCAAAACCCAATTCTTTGTCAAATATCCCTCCCCTTCTTCTTCCACCACATCTTTTGCTCAATCCCACAAATGGGTCTCCTTCAAAGCTCGCCCTTTGTCTACCAAGTTAATAAAGTGCACGAACACCACACACACAGAGACAGCTGAGGTGGTGGTTTCTTCGGATTCATACAGTCAAGATTCGATAGGTGGGATTCTGCGGAAAAAGCTTGCGGTTTTTGTCTCCGGCGGTGGCTCCAATTTCCGATCAATCCATGAAGCGTGTCTTAACGGTTCAATTCTCGGAGACGTTGTCATTTTGGTCGCAAGTAAACAAGGTATCCTCCGCTCTCAAGTGCTTTTGTCATTGTCAATCAATCCAGTTTGCTTTTCTTACTGGATAATCATGGTATTTCCCTTTTATGCAACTGCTCGATCTTAACCTTTGTTGTTATTGCTTGCTCAAATTTTTGTTTTGTGACCTCAAATTCTGATCTCGGTTTTGTTTTTGTTGGGAAAAATTGTGGATAGATTGAATGAAAAAGTTTTCATGGTCAAATGTATTAGCATCCTTTCGATGCCAGCATTGGTGTTTGGTGCTTTTCTAGGAAGCACTTAGATTGTGAATGAAAATGTCTTATGCTTCTCACAAAAGCACTTATGAGCAGGAGTGCCTCCTGCAAATGCTTTTCTGAATCAGAGCCCGTAGACTTGCTCTGAAGGCTTGCTTCATAATGGTATACATTGGTACTTGGGGTTTCTTCTGCTAATGATAGAGTGTGGTAAAAATAGAAAACAAGTTAGGAGCTTTAAAGGTATATTATAGAAATCTTTGATGGGAATATTGTATATCCATTCATGTGTACTGTATGTTATTTTGCTTGTCAGGTTGCGGAGGTGCCGACTATGCAAGAGATAAGAGCCTCCCGGTTATAGTGTTCCCCAAAACTAAACTTGAGCCCGATGGAATATCTCCGGCTGACCTTGTTGCTACCCTTAGGTCAGGCTCTTCGACAGCTCAAAACTTTTGTATCCAAGTTTCTCTCTCATTGGGTATTTAGAATGCTGAATCATCTACTTATACTTAAGATGGCAGAAGAAGTCTGCCTAACTGTATTGATATTTTATTTTAACATGAGAACAAGTATGGTACTTGTTTGATTAAATGCCTCAAAGGGGAGGCTGAGGCCAGCGCAAATATTATTGGCGTCCAGTTTTTAAATAAGTTAACCGGCTCGTTTTAATGAATTTACTTCAATTTTACTCTTGGCAAATTGACAATCAAGGACACAGCACATATTATGTTATTTACATTACTTATCAACCTCTGTTCATTTTGGTTGATTTTGAATAACAAACGTCAGTTTTATTCACTATGAACAATCTGTAGGACCATAGTTAAAATTACATGCTTATTCTCTGGTGTTTCACTAGCCTAGGGACATAGGCCAACTTGAGCTGTTGCTAGCGTGGCATGAATTATCTATGAGCAGTCTTTTAAGCATAGTTTTATTGCTAATTAGCTTTTGATTGTTGATATGATCAGGGGATTGGAGGTTGACTTTGTCCTCCTGGCTGGTTACTTGAAACTTATACCGGTAGAGTTGATACAAGCTTATCCCATATCCATACTGAACATCCATCCCTCACTCCTACCAGCATTTGGAGGCAAAGGTAATTACGGTATGAAGGTCCACAAAGCAGTCATTGCTTCTGGGGCAAGGTATGCATCTTTCACCAATAGCCGATTGGCTTTTGAATCAACCTTCACTCATTTGAGTTACATTTGCAGTTTGCATGTACGAGGAGAAGTTCTAATATTAGGTATTTCATTTTCGTCAGATACTCAGGCCCTACAATACATTTTGTTGATGAGCACTATGATACAGGACGTATCCTTGCTCAAAGAGTTGTCCTTGTGCTTGCTAAGGACACTGCCGAGGAGCTGGCAGCAAGGGTTCTTAGGGAGGTAATGCAATTTTTGTCTTGTCGAACCACTGATTGAATCCAAAGAAGATTTTCTCCGTCTGTTTGATTTTGGATACTGACCTCTTTCAAATGCTAGAATCATAAACATGTTAGTCCGTGCATTCTATTCAATTAAATTTCTAATTTGGCTTCATTATTGATTTTAGGAGCACGCCTTATATGTGGAAGTAACAAAAGCGTTATGTGAAGAACGGATAATTTGGAGGGAGGACGGTGTTCCTATCATCCGAAGCAAAGAAAATCCTGCTGAATACAGCTAGAGGAACCAAAGGTTTTCAGTTTTGAAGAGGCTTTGTCCAGTTTATATACACTACTACCTGTTACTTGGATGCATTGCATTTCATATGCTCACAAAAAAAAAAAAAAAAAAAAAAAAAGAGAATGGTAGCAGAAAAAAAGTGCCAAACTTAGACTAGCATGACTTCTATTCATTGTGTACGAGTAAATTTAGTCAGCGCTCGATTCCTGTTAAACTGCAGGCTATCATTTTGTAGAATGGTGGTACGTGTATCGTATGTTTCTTTTTATTATCTAGAATGGTTTGAGTGTATCGTACAATGGGATTTAAAAGAAGAAGGAAAAGAACATATCAGAGAGTTAAGTGGCAAACTCTCAAAGTTGGACGTACCACATTTCAGAATTTTCAGCTTTCTTTGCGTGTGTTGCTTTCTCAGTTAATGAGACCCAACTGAATTCACGATACATTATAAGGGCCACATATTTTCGCTTGCAGTTGACATCCCAAGGAGTGTATAGTGGCGGTGATACAGCAGAGGTATGAAGATTTTTTTAGCTATTCTCATTTGCTTATCCAATTGTTCCCTCATATTGGTCTTCAACTCTTTGTTTTCAATCTTTTTGAAGTTAATCTTTAGATTTTTCTCAAGCCAAGTGTTTTTAGATATTATTATATCTGGAATTTATATGTTAAAAGGAAATTGAACTAAGATCAGATGATTATAACGAGAGAGAATGAAAAGTAGAAATTTTTCTTCTTGTTTTTTTATTTCTTGTTGTTCGGTATATAATTGTAAGCTCCATGGTTGTATTGACAAACCTCACTTTTCCCAAGAATCCAACGTAATCTTGTAGCATCACCCAAATGTTGCAGTATCTGAATTCATGTATGCATGTTTTCCAATATATGCCCTTGTTCTCTGAATGTCAAAAATGTCTTGAGACTGGTGAGTGTTCTTTTGTGATAAGGTATCTGGTAAGTGAAAGAGTTTTGGTTTCTTTCTCTTCAAAACTCGTTCTGTTGCCTGAAAAGCCCAACAGCTGCCCCAGAAGAAGATTGGTAATCGGATGACCGTGTACCAGTTGCTGGTGGTTAGCCCTGGCCCGGCTCCTAATGCCGCTGCTGGACCCGTGGCTGTCCAGGCGGCCCAATTCCGGGCGGGGTCATAGTACACGCAGCGTAAGGTCTACATGAGCAATGTTGGGGCGGACTTGGACCCCCCTCTAGGGTGATTTGATAACGTCTTGCTTGATATTTTGGTTGCCAATTCTATTGATATTCTACTAGTGTGAAGTGTTACTGATGTTTCAAGGTAAAACGTTACGAATGAGAAGACCGGTTTTCTGGAAGGTGGTTTTGACACTCCTGTATGTAATGTAGTGGTACTTGGTTTTCGCTTTAGATCCTGCTATATATGTTCTATTGATATCCTGTCCTGATGTTTGAAGTTTTATTTGCGCCACTCCAAAATCCAAATATACTCGTGTTAATCTTCTTGTTGAACCCAAAAAAAATATATATATATTCGTGAGAAATAGAAAATGGCCCATATACCCAATAGTATAAAAATTATGACTGTTGTGGCCAATTTATCTGACAAGGGAAGAGAGGGGTGCGGCAAAAGAAAGAGAGTGGATAAAGTGAGGATTTCTCTGCGTGTATGAGTTTATGGTGGTAAAAAGAGAAGACTACTTGTCCTTCAAGTATATACAATCTTAGTAGGAAAAGAGTAACTAGTAATCAAATATATCGAGAATTTACACAATCACATTTTAATATAATATCTATAATGCTCCTCCTTAAGTGTGTAAATACTCAAGTAAATTCATCATCAGAAGAAGTCGACCCTTCGACACTTATTTGGGAACACGCTAGTCTCAGACAAAGGAACTTGCATATAGAGCCAAGTCTCACAAAAACCCAATGGTTATGGTAAAACCTAAGGCAAGACAAAAACCTTATAGTCTAAGGAAAAATGCGTGAGACAGTGCAAAGCTAAATTAAATGTCTACAGGACGTCCATCGTACATATGACCAACCAAGAATAGATGTTCGTCAAAATGCACAAAAGAAAAAACGGCTTCCAAACTTGGAGTTGGAGTCTTCAAGAGAGGAGAGTCATGCAGTCAGCGAGGGAGAGACATAATCTTCGTATAAGGTACAGTGGAAACGGTCCGGGTTGAGGACCCATTTTTTTAGAGATTTGGATCTAATTACATGGACCTGACCTGCCGCATTCTGTTTTGAATTTATAAAATATGGATCCGTCCCATACCCACCTAGAACCGACTGGACCCACCGCGCCCCGGGGTCAAAGACCCGTTTGCCCACCTCCAATACGCCTCCAACAAGTTGTAATTATACAAAAAGAAAAGGGCTAATGGACTAAATTGCCCTTTTAATGACTTTCCCCGAAATTTACCAGTTCTCTTTCAGCCGAGAACACTTGAAATCGAAGAGACTCAGTGCAACCTCCTTCACATACATCTCGAGCAACTCAGCGCGCGAGCTTCGAACGGCCGGATGCGAACCTCTCCGACGACGGAAACACTGCAGATGCGCACCTCGACGCCGCCTCTGCTCCGTCGCTTCCAAAGCTAGTAACTTTTTCATACCCTCTCCATATGCCTGGTATTATCTAGGAATATCGTTTAAGCTGATCTTTGTCGTTCCTCTTCGGGTCGTATCCAAGTGCGTACGCTTTATCTGCTGGAATTGTAACTTGGGTACTCAAGTATTAATGTTTTCGGTGGCTTTTATTTGTCCATGTTTTGATTTTGTTGGTCGAAGTTTTCCAATAGTTTCAATTTGGTCCATGTGGTTTTAGTTCACTAATTTTCGCAATTATACGTTAGCGTAGCAGCTTAATTCTGCTATTTGGTTCGATAAGTTTGATGAAAGTAAGTCATTTTTATTTGAATTGTAACGACTAGTAAACTAAGGGGATCAATGGGCGAAAACTGAAACTTTACTGATGAGAAATTGGTCGTGTTTTCTGCCCCTCATTAGTCATTACTGGCAAGAGCATTTTTCAGATTCTCAGATGAAAATATCAATTAACTTTTTAATGTTTTGCATACGGACCATAGTAGTCATATAGTTGCGGTTAGTTGGTATGGACCAGTTCATAAACGGATAATTTTCCTTGTCAGATGTATAATTGGTACAAATTATCAAGGGACGAATATTTTTCTGTTATATCCTTAAACTTTGTTAGCATAGTGTTTTCGACCCACCACTATGAGTGTGCATTATGTATTAAACAAGTCCGGAGGGCTTTTTTCATGTTTTGATGGATACTTATTATTTTGCCAAACCCGTAGCACTTCTAAGTAATTTGCATCATCCTCTGCTTCAAGTTCTGTAACCCTTTTTTAGATGTAATATTAAAAACAGACAAACGTTCAGATGTGTGTGCCATAGTTGAGGTTATAGCTGATGCCATTTTATATTCTGAGTTTCTTACTCAAATACTGCGTTCTTTTCTTTAATTTTAGGAAATCTCATAGAAGTCTCTGAGGCAGTTAAGCCTAATATCTCCAGTGATGGAGATACTGCCAGCTCAACCCTTGAAGCATCTATATCATCTCTCACGCTTACTAGTTCGTCATGTCTCAACCCAAGAAAGTCTTTCCAAGAAAGTTATTCTTTGTCCTGACCCCTCCCTGCAACAATCTTACATGGAATTGTCACAGACATTCTACGAAGCTATGAAAACTTGTGCATCTCTCAAGTCGATACCCATTGCCAGAAAACTCCATGGCCAACTCATTTCTGTAGGTTTGGACTCTGCTATTTTCCTCCAGAACCATCTCCTGCATATGTACTCCCAGTGTAGCCTGGTAGACGATGCTTGTCGGGTTTTTGATAGTATTCAACAACCTAATGTTTTTAGTTGGAATACAATGATTAGTGGCTTGGTAGATTCGCATCGGATGATGGAAGCAAAGAATTTGTTCGAAGAAATGCCTGTGAGAGATTCTGTGTCTTGGACTACAATGATGTCTGGGCATTTTAACAATGGACAACCAGCCGAGACGATTAAAGTGTTTGCTTCAATGGTTCGGAACTGTGATAGTTTTTCCGACCCATTTTCATTCTCTTGCGTAATGAAGGCTTGTGGTAGTCTTGGCTACATCAAATTGGCTCTTCAGTTGCATAGTCTTGTGGAGAAGTTAGATTTTGCAAACAACATGGCGATTCAAAATTCGATTATTGATATGTACATTAAGTGTGGTGCGTTGAGCTCTGCTGAGAAAATGTTTTGGAGGATCCCGTATCCGAGTTTGTTTTGTTGGAACAGTATGGTCTATGGTTACTCGAAACTTTATGGGGTTGGAAGGGCTCTTCATTTGTTTGTTCAAATGCCTGAACGTGACTGTGTGTCTTGGAACACCATGATTTCAATCTTTTCTCAACATGGTTTTGCAGTTGAGAGTCTCAGTATGTTTGTTGAGATGTGGAACCAAGGTTCTAGACCAAATTCTTTGATATATGCCACAGTACTTAGTGCATGTGCAAGCATACATGATCTTGAATGGGGTACCCATTTGCATGCTCGTATCATCCGTATGGAACCAATTCTTGATGTTTTTGCAGGTAGTGGGCTGATTGATATGTATGTCAAATGTGGACACTTGCATTTTGCAAGGCAGGTGTTTAACACCATGACAGAACGCAATGCCGTTTCTTGGACTTCTTTGATCAGTGGAGTTGTGCAGTCCGGGCTCGAAGACGAAGCTTTATTGCTGTTTAAACAAATGAGAAAGGCTCCTATTTCCTTGGATGAGTTTATTCTTGCAACAGTCCTTGGGGTTTGTTCAGGCCAAAAGCATATTTTAGTTGGGGAACAGCTCCATGGATATACAATCAAGGCTGGGATGGCCTCTTCTACTCCTGTGGGGAATTCTCTTGTCACAATGTATGCGAAGTGCGAAAATACTCATAGTGCAAACCGGGCATTCGAGTTGATGCCAGTTAAAGATATAATATCATGGACAGCGATGATCACGACATTCTCTCAAATTGGTAATGTTGAAAAAGCTCGAGAATATTTTGATAAAATGCCAGAGAGGAATGTCATAACTTGGAATTCAATGTTAGCAACATATTTCCAAAATGGTTTTTGGGAAGAAGGCCTAAAATTGTATATTCTAATGCGAAGGTTGGAGATTAAACCTGATTGGGTCACCTTAGTAACTTCAATCAGTGCCTGTTCTGATTTAGCAATACTAAAACTTGGGGTTCAAGTTATAGCTCAAGCTGAAAAACTAGGGTTTATCTCTAATGTTTCAGTCAAAAATAGCATTATTACTTTGTATTCAAGATGTGGGAGAATTGAAGAAGCGAAAAGAGTTTTTTATTCAATTTCTGATAAAAATTTGATTACTTGGAATGCGATTATGGCAGGATATGCTCAAAATGGTGAAGGTAGGAAAGTGATTGATGTTTTTGAGAATATGTTGAAAACGGATTGTGAACCTGATCATATAAGTTTTGTATCGGTTATATCGGGTTGTAGCCATTCGGGCCTGGTAAAAGAGGGGAAACACCACTTCACTTCCATGACCGAAGATTTTGGCATCTATCCAACATGTGAGCATTTTGCTTGCATGGTAGACCTACTTGGTCGGGCTGGGTTATTAGAGGACGCCAAGAAATTGATAGATGAAATGCCCCTTAAGCCAAATGCTGCCATATGGGGGGCCTTGCTTGGCGCTTGTCGGGTTCATCGCGATTCAAAGTTAGCAGAAGTTGCAGTGAAAAATTTGGTCGATTTAGATGTAGATGATTCTGGGAGTTATGTCCTTCTAGCTAATACGTATTCTGACTCTGGACAATTAGAAGCTTTTGCAGATGTTAGAAAAGAGATGAGAAAGAAGGGCATTGAGAAAAAACCCGGTTGTAGCTGGATAGAGGTTGATAATAGGGTACATGTGTTCACTGTAGACCACACTAATCATCCGCAAATAAAGGATATTTATAGAATACTGGATGAGATTGTTAAGAACATAGGAGATACAAGTTGCTCCGTCAATCCACTTAGCTCACTATTTTATCAGGATAATCACATTGAAAAACTTGATGTTGCTGTTGGGATTGCTTAATGCCTATCTACTTGATGAAAAACCTTCAAGTTTTCCTTGATTGCCACATGGTAACGAAGCTGATTTCCCTTTCTACCTCAAGGGCACTTATAATGCAGGGTAGATACCGGTTTCATAGTTGCAAGGTTGGAATTTGCTTCTGTGGTGATTACTGGTGATCTCTGGTATGTAATAGATTCTCCTACTATTGTGTTCTCCATTCCTTGCTGCTGCTGTTATCACTATTTGTTTGAGGAAGACTACTTTTTTGAGTATATCTGTTACTCTGATAGATTCCTAAACTCTAAAATTGTGCATGTGTAGACACACCGGTACATGACCAATGGGCACTAACACAAAATTGATGACTGACATTTCTTGCTAGTTACTAGTTAGATGTCATTAGATGTCTTTAGGAATATGCATCCTTTGTTGACAGTTGCTATTATTAGTTGTGGCAGCCCATGATGCTGCAAAATTGAAATGGCAAGATGTTGGATGGAGGGAGGGTTGCTGTTTATTTATTTATTGTTTTTTGTTTCTCTTGAAAAAGAAAGAGATTTGTTGAACTTATGTTGTAATTGGATATGCGGATTTGAAATGAAAGATTGGGATTATTTTTAGTGTAGATTGCTTAACAAGACTTTGAAATATAAATCTTTTATGTTAATAAGATCCACGTGTAATTTGAGTCTTGACTATTTGAGCAATTTCAAATTCAAGGGGAAAGTATAATTTCAAATTCTCTTTGAATTACTTAAATATGGAAACTTCTTTTTCTTTGCTGTGTTTTATTTTGACATTTGATGCAAGCAATTTAAACTGAGTAATCCAAAGTCCCATTTTAAATCCAATTTCCCAAAAGCAGCCTTAATGTTCAAACAAAAGTAAAAAAAATCCAATTTAGTTTCTAGGCAGGATTGACATGACTCTGATTGTTCTTTCTTCATTCCTTTGGTGAACTTATTATTATTCCAAACCCTTGTTGCTTTGTGTTCGTGGTTTCAATTTTTTTTTGCTATGTTTAATCTGCTGTTTGGGACAATAAGTGTTTAATTGCAAGCATAAAACTAGATGCTCCGTTGCTAGCCTACCCCGCACCAGAAAGATAAACAAAACAAAATAGTTTTTTTGTTTGTTTAATTTTTGAATTTCCTGTCTCTTATTTTTTAAATGAAATTGATACATTACCTTGTGCATCTCCACCGGTTAAAGATACCACCCATGGATGGAGGAAGAGTACTTCCAGAGAAGATGTCACATCGACCTATGAGACGGATAAGGCAAGTGAAGACGATACCACACTTTGGTACTTAGAAGTTTCGTGATTACTCAGCGGCTTGGATCTTGCAAGTCCCCAACCGAGGAGCTTCCCTCACTCAGGAACTTAGGGGAGCACTGTTTGTACCATACTTGACCAATCCCGAAACTATCGAGCATCGGTCAACGTTATACGTCAAGGACCCAGAAGAGTTTTCCTCCAACCAGGAGGCCAATCACAGAGCGACATGTGTCGACATCAGAAGCTAATCATAGCGCGACACGTGTCAACATCAGAAGCCAATCACAACACGACACGTGTCAATGTCAGAACAAGGCTAGAAACTCTCTTCTATAAAAGGAGATCATTCTCCCACAATATTTCCTAATGTCATTTGTACTAAATCATTCACTTGTACTTACTAAAGGAGAGCTTAAACCTATGTACTTGTGTAAACCCTTCACAATTAATGATAACTCATCTGCTCCGTAGACGTAGCCAATCTGGGTGAACCACGTACATCTTGTGTTTGCTCTCCTGTCTTTATCCATTTACATACTTATCCACATTAATGACCAGAGTCATTTAGCGAAGGTCACAAACTTAATACTTTCTGTTGCACCAAAGTCCTCACTGATTTTGTGCATCAATAATCCTTAAGTCCTTACCTTTTTGCATTGGTAATTGATGAGTTAACATGACATATTCAAGATGATATTCCTTGGTGTATGTATTTTGCAGACGATATAATGTTAATAAATGAAACTCAGGAATGGGTAAATGCGAAGCTTAATCTTTGGAAAGAAATGTTGGAACCTAAAGGTCTTCGCCTAAGCCGATCAAAGATAGAATATATGGAGTGCAAGTTCAGTGCAAATGGAGGCCAAAATGAGTTAGGGGTGAGGATCGGAGATCAAGAAATACCAAAGAGCGACTGTTTTCGCTACCTAGGATCTATCTTGCAAAAGAACGGAGAATTAGATGGAGACCTCAACCATAGAATACAAGCTGGATGGATGAAGTAGAAGAGTGCATCCGGCGTTTTGTATGACCGTCGTATGCCACTGAAGCTCAAGGGAAATTTGTATAGGATGACAATAAGGCCGGCAATGCTGTATGGCATAAAATGTTGGACGGTGATGCATCAACACGTACACAAAATGGGTGTAGCGAAGATGAGGATGCTTCGTTGGATGTATGGGCACACGAGAAATGATAAGATTAGGAATGAGGATATCTGAGGTAAAGTAGGAGTAGCCGAAATTGAAGGAAAGATAAGAGAAAATCGGTTACGGTGGTTTGAACATGTGCAAAGAAGGCCTACTGACGCTCTGGTTCGAAGATGTGACTACGGGACAGAGGTTCAGGGTCGAAGGGGTAGAAGAAGACCTAGGAAAACTTTGGAAAAGACCCTAAGAAAAGACTTAGAGTACTTGGATCTAACGGAGGACATGACACAAAACCGAGAGCAATGGCGTTCTAGGATTCATATAGCCGACCCCACTTAGTGGGAAAAGGCTTTGTTGTTGTTGTTGTTGTTGGTAAAGGTCTATTAGAACAGGAAGATATCTTAACAGAACTGTTCATATTAATTATTCGTTCTAGAACAAGACAGGGTTTTCCTCTTATAAATTCTGGAAAATAAAGTGGTCCTCGATCAGATTTTAGTTTTCTATGAATGCTGGTTTTAATATTTGCTTCATTGAATGCATAGATGGTTTTAAATCTGCTTCTTTGACTCCTTTATTCCGCTGTATGCATTAAAGTACATTGCAACACTCTTCATTTACAACTGGTGTATAAGGAATAGCAGGTAAAAGTTAACCGTGCCTCTATTAGTTTAAGATTGCAGAAATCCACGTTGCGGTGCTAGGTGATGCAATTTTGAATAATTAGTTGGGCTTCTAATGCTTGCAGTTCTGTTCCACCTTCATGTGATGCACATGGACACTGAAATCATCGTAATACCTGTGATTTGCTTGAGATATGGATGATGAATTCAGATTTTCTATTGAAGATTTTAAAAGGTCTCATTACATGGTAATTTCTCTCGGTATTGTGGTAAATGCTGTTGAATTGTTATTATTCTTATTTTTATGGTTATCAACGGTTCAGATGTTTAAGAGGTAGCAATGAACTCACGGTAAAAGTGTTTTTACGTTTTTGTAGGGAGCAAAACCAAGATTGGATGTGATGAAGGATACCGGCCTTGGTCACTAAACTCGCCAAAACGAGTGAAATTACAATGCTAGCCTTTATCTACTGGACCTTGGGTTCAAAACGAGAAGCGGAAAATGGCGGATTGTAGTTAGGCTGAACAAAAGACTTGAAGCAAATGCAAGTTGCTACAACAGGAGGACTACATTTTGCCTTGATCAACATTTGTGTGCTGGGTCCACGATTGGCTGTAAATTGGTAAAAGCAAGCCCGCGGGAGGAGCCGAAAGGGGCTGTATAGCTATTTTAGAAAGTAACATGTATTGGTTGTTTTTGAGAAAACCGGCATTGATATTCCAAAAATCTCACTGGCGTAAAAGAACTTCTTCCTAAACAACTCTATGATATATATATTTTTTTCAAAAATTTTGGGATCAAATCAGTTCTTTTGTTATCGATGTAGTTAAGATTCTTAAGTAACCATACAACATTGCCCTAATTTCAAAGGTAGTAATCTTAAAATTTTGAATCAAGTAGTTCCCGAAATTAAAGTTTTCATTGGATAAACGAAATTTAAAGAATAACAAGTTAAAGTTTTTATTTTTTGCTATAGAATGATATTTTTACACTAAGTTAAAAGTGTTTATTGGATAAATGTATTCCGAAGAAAGTGCTTTTGCTCCGGGTAGTTCCAGTGACCCGTAAAAAGTAACTATAAGGATAAATTTGCTATTTGGAGACATTAGAATTTGAGACAAAGGGGGATTTGTGAAAAAAGTTTGGTACATCAGGGGTTGTTTTTGTAGTTCTCAAAACCCAACTGGTCTTTTGTGAAAACATGAGAAACCTCGGGGTGTTATGCAATTAAGCACTTTTTAAACCCACAGTTTGCAATAACTTCCGAGACAGAGAGAGGGGTGTCTCTTTTTCCTACGGATTTTGCCCCTTATCCTCGTTTTGCCGAAGCTTGTTGTCGGGTAAGTGAACTGAGTTAATTTTCCTTCTTCAATTCCGAATTCAGTTTTGGTTCCGGTTAATTTCGGTTAATTGTAGTTTTGCTGTAATTATTTTGGTTGATTCCGATTGAATTCCAACTTGAATGTCCATAGCTGGATTAGGTATATTTTGTGCTAGTTTCTGTTGTTTTTTATCGTTGGTTGTTCCGGGTGAGAGGATGTCGAGTCGGCTTAGGCTTGTTCATCTTGGAGCTCGTTTTAGAAGTGATTTTAAAATGACTCAATACGTTTTCGGTGAAAATGTTTTTTAAACCAATCTTCAGTACAAATTCAAGGGGATTCTGAAAAAGCATTTTAAGTATTTTCTACAAGAAGCACATATCTGGAGCTTCTTTCAAAAAACACTTTTTGGAACTCAAAATCAATTTTACCAAAAGCGCTTTCAATAATTTTAAAAGCGCTTCCAAACGAGCCATTATTTTATACATTGAATATATCCATTGATCAAATTTTATTGTAAACAATTGTATCTCAAGGGAGAGTGCACTCATATACTAGGAGTTTCATGAACAAAAACATTTTTTTGCTTTGCTTGTGCAATGGAAGTTTCATGCAAGAATTATCTATTTATCCACGCTTTGCTTATGCATTTTCTAATGTGTAGGTCGTCAGTTCACATGCCCAATATCTTAATCAATTTTCTCTCATCTTATCTTCAATTCCAGCCACTCCTATTTTACCTCGGATATCCTAGTTCTTAATCCTATTCTTTCAAAACTTAGCCCAAACTGTGGAGACAAAATCATAATTTGGCCTTTCTTGTATAAAGCTCTTGTATGCTCATATGGTTCAGTTTTCTTCTTACTGCAATGAGGAGAGCTTTTATTAGCATTGCTTTAGAGTTTTTTTGCTCTTAATGGGCCGCTGCTCTATTCTTGCTTCGGACCTTTGCTTCTTCTTCTTCTTCTAAATTTCTAATTAGGCTCATCTTCTACCTCCTTAATTTTGTAGTTCCTTCTTTTAACTACTCAATTTCACACTATAAATTTCTGATTTTCAAGAATTTACTAGAGATGTAGGATTGAGAAAATGAGGGATTTGTTATTGTACTGTTTTATTTCAGATAATCTTCTTGGAGGACTTGGAAATTGACATCTTTCAGTTCTAGAGGAGAATCGCAACCGCAGGTACGTTTCTTTTAATTTACCCTTTTAATGAAAGTTTGGAGGGATTTAGTATCAAAATAGTTGTTGGCAATTGGTATCTTGCAATTCTGAATGTTGTTCTGAATGTTGTTGGTTGTTGGTTGTTGATAGTGATTCTTTTGATAAAATCCTTTCACTAATGAAATTTGGCTTCAAAGTTCATCCCACCCAAGTTCTGTGTCTTGGGTCCATGCCTGGGCATAGTAGACTAGTAGTTACGTAGATTGAAATCATCATGCAATCTCTGAGCAGCTGGCCTATATCTGCACACTTAGTTTGTGATGATAGTTGGAGTAATCAGCTACAGTAATATGGAACTAAATGTTAGTATATGTATTTAATTGAAGTCTTTTGCGAGAGTTACAGAAGACTCGTATATCAGTGCTTGGTCAGTGATTCAAACACTACTGAGGCTGGCAACCGTCTTGCATGAGTATCATAACGTCAACTTAGTTGGCTTCTTTATTTTCTACTACGACTAGCATTTAATAGTATGCTTTAGTCAGTTGTGGCTGAGAAATCTGAATGAGTATTATAATATGGGATGTGATATCCACACACGGTAGTCATATAATTACTGACTGTTGGTACAGACCTGTAACGTGGGGCATTCAGTCGGAAGCCTATAAATGCTGGTGTCTTCTTTCAAACGTACCCTTGGCAAATTTGTCAAGCTTATACTGAATATGTTGTGTAATTGGTCGTATGACTCGTATCATTGTAATTTGTTGGGATTGCGTTTCAGAGCTTTGATGTTATAGGTACCTTAACGTATATTTTATCACTTTCTTTGTTTCACTGGAAAAGTAATATCAAAATTTCACTGGGAAGTCTATGAATTGTACGCCGAAAGTTCTATTAAGATCCTTGCATGTGAATTTCGACAATACTTTTCCTGTATTTATTCTGCAAGCTGTTTACTGTGTTGAAAAATGGCTGACTGTTTAAGAAAGAGTAACGCAAACTCTTATGAATTAAATATTTCCATGTTTTGTTGGATACTTGTAATTTTGCCAGTCCTTTGAATGTTTTAGCGATTTAACCAAATTTTAGATGCAAGTTATAACAACATAAAAACCGATGCTGCATTTCAGATGCTTGCTCCTTCCAAAGAATGCCGCTTTTAAGTGATTAATTTATGTGCCGCCAATTAACTTCATTTTCTTAAGCCGGCCAGGTTCTCCAGCATGGGAAACAAGCCTGCGAAGCAAGAAAGGGAAGAGGTCTTGTTGAAAGTTGTTCCTCCGTTGGACCGTGCGTATGTTAGGTGGCTTGCTCGCGATCTTGAGAGGACTCATGGCTTTACACCAGTGAACCCTCGTGCGGTGAAGCCACCAGAACATTATATTGAGTACATGCATTTGAATGGCTGGTTGGATGTAGACTTGGGTGATCCTGATCTAGCCCATTTATTCAAGTAGATAGCGACGGCGATGCACTCAAAACCAGATTTGAGAAGAAAGGAGTGGCATTTGTACCAGTATAGCAGTGATTGGATTGTGATTTGAGTACATATCTGGCCCTCCAATTTGAAGTAACATTTCAAATTTTGGATTCAAATGGGGCTTATTGTATGGAATGGCTTAATTCACTTTTGCTCTGGAATCCACATTTTACCACTTAACACCCTGAAACTCGATTTTGTTTCACTTTTGTTAGATTTTGTTTATTTCGTTAAATTATTGTTAACTTGTTGACGTGGCCATGATGGTGACTACCGATTTGTTGATGTGGTAGCCACCTCAATTGCTTTGATACAAATAGGCATGTCAATTGATTGAATTTTGATATGAATCGATGAAATCAATAGGGTACGAATTGAGACTTTTAATCCGATTATTCGAATTAGATTCGAATTTGATATCCAAGTTAAAATGAATATGGATATGGTTCAAGGTTGATTTGATCCAACTTAATATGACCTAATATATAAATTTTTGTTGTGGTCTATTTTTATTTGACAAAGGGAGAGGGGCCGGCGGCATAGGAGAGAGGGAAGAGAGATGTGTTTGTAGAATTGTAGGGGAATGTGTGTTGTTATCCCTTCTACATTGTGTCTTTATTTATAGTAGTAAAGGGAGAGAAGATATTCCTTCTTCTCCAAGTAATACAAGTTGTAATAGGAAAGGATGACTAGAATCAAATCTAATCTAGGATTTACACAATCATACTTAAACTAGGAATGTTCACAACACTCCCCTTTGAGTGTGTAAATACTCAAGGTAGATTCAGCATCATGCAGAAGTTGAGGAAGTCGACTCGTCGGCACTGATTCCAAGGAACAACGCTTATTCTCAATAAGGTAGGAACTTGCATAAGTAGTAAGTCTCACTAAAAAACCTTAAGGCTATGGCAAAAACCCGAGTAGGGACAAAATCCATAGTCTAAGGAAAAATGTATGAGAAATACAAAGTCAAAAGAAACGTCTACAAGACGTCATCAAGGATATGACCAGCCCAAGGTGGGTGCCTCGTTAAAACCTAATTGGGTAGCAAAAACCCATTGGGAAAAATGCTCCTAATCGTAGGGAAAAAGAGTACATTAAGATCAAGCAAGCATCTACAGGATACTCCCCCTGAGTTTGACATAATTCCAAAGAGAAATAGCAAAGTTACAACTCAGAAAGTTTACGCATACCAATTCCATGAACAAGCTTCTGAAACATCGCCTTCGGCAGTGATTTGGTGAAGAGGTCGGCCATATTGTCTTGTGAACGGATTTGCGTGACTTCAATCTTCTGATGCTCTTGTTGTTGATGTGTAAAGAAAAACTTCGGCGCAATGTGCTTGGTGTTGTCTCCTTTGATGTTACCCTTCTTGAGTTGTTCGATGCAAGTTGCGTTGTCCTTAAAAATCGTCGTTGGGGCATTAACGGCGATATGAAGATTGCAGGAGCTTTGAATATGGCCCACTACTGCTCTCAACCAAAAGCATTCCCGAGTTGCTTCATGTAAGGCGAGAATTTCAGCATGGTTAGACGAAGTGGCAACTAAGGTCTGTTTAGTTGACCTCCAAGAGATTGTGGTGCCTCCAATGGTAAAGACATAACCCATTTGAGAACACGCCTTGTGCGGATCAGATAAGTATCCAGTGTCGGCATAACCAACAAGGCAAGAATCAACCCGATGAGTATAGGGTGCAGCATCACTCGAGGATTCGTAGGGATAGAATAAGCCCAAATTCGTAGTACCCTTAAGGTAACGGAAGATGTCTTTCATGCCAGTCCAGTGTCTGCGTGTTGGTGCATTGCTATATCTTGCCAAAAGATTAACAGCGAAGGAGATGTCGGGTCAGTGCATTGAGCTAAGTACAATAAAGCGCCTATCGCACTTAGATAAGGAACTTCAGGCTCTAAAATCTCTTCATCATCCTTATTCGGATGGAAGGGATCTCGTTTTGCATTTAGCGTACGAACGACCATAGGAGTACTCGAAGACTTCGCTTTATCCTCATTAAAACGGCGCAACACCTTCTGGGTGTAGTTCGATTGATGTACTAGGATTCCATCCGAACAATGCTCTATCTCGAGACCGAGACAGTATCGAGTCTTACCTAGATCTTTCATCTCAAATTCCGACTTCAGGTGTGAAACAATTCTCACGAGCTCTTCAGGAGTTCCGATTAGATTCATGTCATCGACATATATTGTAACAATCGCAAATCCGGAATGTGACTTCTTAATGAACACACAAGGGTATAGTTCGTTGTTCACATATCCCTAACTAGTCAAATACTCACTCAGACGGTTATACCACATTCTTCCAGATTGTTTCAAACCGTAGAGTGAACGCCTCAACCGAATTGAGAGCGTGTTCCGGGGTTTGGAAATATTTGAACCAGTCAATGTAAGTCCTTCGGGAACTTTCATATAAATTTCCGTATCAAGATCCCTATAGAGATACACGGTTACTACGTCCATCAGCTGCATATCTAGTTTTTCAGAAACTACCAAACTGATAAGGTAGCGAAAAGTAATCACATCCATAACGGGCGAGTAAGTTTCGTCATAGTCAATCCCGGGGCGTTGCGAGAAACCTTGTGCTACAAGACGAGCTTTGTAATGCACAATCACGTTCTTCCCATTACGCTTCCGAACGAAAACTCACTTGTAGCCAACGGGCTTCACATGTGGAGGAGTAGGAACTACAGGTCCAAACACCTTACGTTTCGCAAGTGAATCGAGTTCGACTTGGATTGCTTGTTTCCAGTTTGACCAATTAGCTCTACGTTGACATTCATCAACGGAACGCGGTTCAATGTCATCGCTCAACATGATCTCAGTAGCTACTGCAAATGCTAATGCATCGTCGACATTCATCTCATTTCTACGCCACACATCTTCTAAGCTAGCATAATAGACCAAAATCTCATGATTCTCGGGAGGAGGATTCGTCTCTTCAAAGACGCTTCCGTAATCTAGAATTTCCTCATGAGTTGGGTAGAATGAGTAAATGATAGTCGGATTCACGGTAGGCTCTTCAGGACCTTGTGCCGTGGTTTTCTCAGGATGGTCATCTCAGGATGGGTGCCTCGTTAAAACCTCGTTAGGTAGAAAAAATCAAGTGGGAAAAATGCTCCTAATCGTAGGAAAAATAGTAGATTAAGATCAAGTGAGAATGCATCAGGATACTTCCCTGAGTTAGACATAACTTCCAAATGAGAAAACTACAAGCAATTCAACTCAGATAATTTATGCATACTGATTCCTTGGACGAGCTTCTGAAAAGTATACTTAGGCAATGACTTGGTGAAGAGATCGACCAAGTTGTCTTAGGAACATATTTGCTTAACTCAATGTTCTGATGCTGTTGTTGCTGGTGAGAATAAAAGAACTTCGGAGCTATGTGCTTGGTGTTGTCTCCCTTGATGTACCCATTCTTTAACTGCTCGATACATGCTACATTGTCTTCAAAGATGTTATAGAAAGGTCAATGACGGAAGGAAGACCACTATTGCTGCGAATATGTTCCATGACTGCTCTCAACCAAAAGCACTCACGCGATGCTTCATGCAGGGCGAGAATCTCAACATGGTTCGAAGAAGTCACAACTAGCGTTTGCTTGGTAGACCTCCAAGATATAGCGGTATCTCCAACGGTAAAGACATAACCCATTTGAGAATGTGCCCTATGTGGGTCAGACAGATAATTAGCATCTGTGTAACCAACGAGGCGAGAATCAACTCAAGGACCAAGGAGGTGGTGGTTCCTCTCGAGGATTCATGGGTGTAGAACAAGCCCAAATCCATCGTACCCTTAAGGTAGCGAAAATTATCTTTAACACCATTCCAGTGTCTACGTGTAGGCGCATTGTTGTATCTAGCCAAAAGATTAACAGTGAATGAGATGTTAGGTCTAGGCCATTGAGCCAAGTACAATAAAGTACCAATTGCACATAGGTATGAAACTTTAGCCCCCAAAATCTCTTCCTCATCCTCATTAGGACGGAAGGGATCTCGTTTAGCATCTAGAGTCCAAACAACCATATGAGTACTCGAAGGTTTCACTTTATCCTCATTAAAATGTCGTAACACATTTTGGGTGTAGTTCGATTGATGTACTAGGATTCCATCCGGACAATGCTCGATCTCCAAGCCGAGACAATATTGAGTTTTCTCAAAATCTTTCATCTCAAATTTTGATTTCAAGTAAGCGGCAATTTCCTCAAGCTCTGCAGGAGTTCCAATGAGGTTCATGTCGTTAACATAAACTGCAACGATCACAAATCCAGAATGTGACTTCTTTATGAACACGCATGGGCATAATTCGTTGTTCACATAACCCTGACTTATCAAATATTCACTTAGACGGTTATACCACATCCGCCCGGATTGTTTCAATCCATAGAGTGATATTCTCAATCTAATCGAGAGAGTGTTATGTGGTCTAGAACTATTTGAACCAGTCAATGGAAGACATTCTAGAACTTTCATGTACATTTCCATATCTAAATCCCCATAGAGATATTCGGTTACCATGTCCATAAGCTGCATATTCAGTTTTTCGAAAACTACCAAACTGATAAGGTAGCGGAACGTTATGACGTCTATTATGGAGGAATACGTCTCCTCATAATCAGTCCCAGGGCTTTGAGAGAAGAAGCTTTGCGCTATGAGTCATGCTTTGTATCGTAATATTTCATTCTTCTCATTATATTTCCTCACGAAAATCCACTTGTAGGCCACAGGCTTCACATATGGTGGAGTATGAGCTACAAGCCAAAACACCTTGCGTTTTGCGAGTAAATCGAGTTCGACCTGAATTGCTTGTTTCCAGTTTGACCAATTGATAGGAGCATATTTATGCGACTTAGTATGTTTGTTTTCGTGCATTTATGTTCTTAGTTCTTAGTTATGTTAGTAGTTTAAGCCATTTTTGTGTGTTTGTAGGTTCTATGGGCCAAGGATGCAAGAAGATGCATTTTGGAGCATTGTGGAGCATTTTTGGGCTAAGATTGGATGGTGCAAACATGGAGACATGAGGATGGACGTTTTGGGCTTTTGTGTGTGCAAATGTGTGTGTGTAATTGCAAGGATAAACACATGCAAAGAAGCCCACATGCAAACTCAAGGCAAGAGAGGGAGAAAACACATGCAAAGAAGCCCACATGCAAACTCAAGGCAAGAGAGGGAGAAAACACATGCAAAGAAGCCCACATGCAAAGTGAAGACAAAACTCATGGCAAAGGTGAAGGAATTGTGTGTGTTTTGTGATTGAAATGATGAAGCATGTGTGTGTAAATGCAAAGGGGATCTAAACATGGACAGCACATGTCATGTGCAAAGGAGAAACAAAGA